TCCCCTCCTTTCTCCCCCTCCTTTGCCCCTTCCTGTCCGCCCTACTTTCCCCGCTCTACTTCTATCTCTCCGTCCGCTTTTCTTCTGTCATGCTCCCCGGTTTTTTTTTTCGTTTTTGTGTCATGCTCATCTCATCAATCTTCTCCGCCCGATCATTTGTTTGCTGTTTCCTCCCCCCCCCTCCTTTTTTTTTAACCTCTTGTTGTAGCATACTATCGCTCGCTTTCGCCCCCTAATTTTTTATTTCCATTCCCTTATCTTCTTTTTCCTTCCTTGTTCCTCTATTTGCCTCTGTCGTTATTCTGTTGTCCTCTCTCTCTCTCTCTCTTTCTCTCTCTCTCTCTCTCTCGCTCGCTCTCTCTCTCTCTCCGTGTCTCTCTTTTTTCCTTCCTCTCTGTGAAGTAAGCCTTCGCGACGTCCTTGGGCATATTCACGCTAGGGCTTCCTGGCATGTATAGTACCGGTTTTAAGGCTTGATTCTGTCGAGGAAACCCTAGCGAAAGTATGCCCCTAGATAACAGAATATTAAATGAAGCTGCTCTCCTTAGGTCTCCCCATCTTGCTTTCCTCTCTCGGCTTTCCGTGCACGCACGGTCATGCGATTGGGTATCCATGGCTGAGTGGGTGTGTAGAGGGGGGGTGAATGGCTGTAACAGACTGATTCCTCAGCTTACTACCATTCTTGTCAGGGTTTTGGACCGACAGTTTCTAGGATTGCAGGGTTGGTGTGAGTGAAGTCGACCACCTCTCTCTCAGGGATGGGTATCGATAACTCTGGGCGACGTGGTGAGTCCTTATCCGTCAGTCGAATGCATCGTGGGCAGATTGTTGGCGTGCGGCCTCCTGATGAGTCTGTGAAAGTCCGACGAAATATTCTGGCACGGCCATGCTTCTTTTTGTGGAGTTGTGTATAGCGAACATGACAACGTACAACACGCAGAGGGAGAGAGAGAGAGGCGGACGTGGGGCAGGTTTCGTGGATGTACCTAGTGACGAGGTGAATTGAGCATATTCTGTGTGTGTGTGTGTGTGTGTGTGTGTGAGATAGATAGATAGATAGATAGATAGATAGAGAGAGAGAGAGAGAGAGAGAGAGAGAGAGAGGTGAATTGAGCATACTCTGTGTGTGTGTGTGTGTGTGTG